TTAATTACTCCGCTAGCAGGGCCAGTGAAAACGGCATTTGCGACCCCTCCGCTACTCCGCAAGATCCGGATATGTTAGTACACGCGCTAGAAGGCCCGGTAGCTCAAAACTTTTGGCCCGCTGATGTATGGGTTTAGGGCTATTATTTCACATACTTTTGGGGTTTAGGTAGCATTGATAGGCTTTGGGGCTGGAGCACTTCGAGCAAATACCAACGTGGGGTTTAGGGTCAAGGGATGGTAGTTTGTGGACATTGGCCTGTCAACACGAGGCCTTTAGCCTTCAACTAAAAAAGTAAAGCCACCCCAAGCCCAATCCCAGAAACTCTTGCCCTGACCTTCCGCGAAACAGGCGTCAGAACAAGTCCACGGGCGCAGAGAACATCGTCTATCTGCAGGTCAGCAAACAGCAAGCATATCAATTTCAAGTTGTTTGGTGGTGCTGATACAACATAGGGATTGTATAGGGTGGATAGAAATGGATACTACGGTCTATGGTAAAGGAAGAAGCACTCCCCTAGCCCATGCAGAGTCTTTGAGCTAACATCATGCCAACTTCTCCTGGAGCAAGCAGGTACTCATGGGAGGCCCAATGCTTGCTTCTTATATTCTAGCACGCATGTGGGCAATGTTTTCCAGAAACGGCACATTCAATTCTACATCCTTGTGCCTCCTGTGGAACCCCCAAGCCCTAAAACCTAAGCCTTTTTCTTCCAGGGAACGATCGTTGACGGGAGGGAGGCGGACTTCAGCGACGGCATCCATCGGGTGATGGGAGGAAAGGTCAAGGACTTCGAAGCACTTTCGGGGGCAAGAGTTTGTGACGTGCTTCGTGTTTGAATTGATAGAGCTCATTGTATCGCGGAAAGGGTCATCTGCTTATGACTGGTTGGGGGCAACCTTTATGTGAGTTCATTGCATCAAATATGCTGAGGTTTTGTGAAGGCGCGCTGCCATGCCGACATTTTTCTGTTTGCTGCTGCCACACATGAGGCCCTGCATGTGTAGCCCTGTGCTATCAATGGACAGCATTTATCCCTGAAACGCGCCTTAGGCAACCAAGGGAAGTAGTAGAAATCATGACATGCGGCCGTGCCAGATGATTGATTCATGTCCGCAACGCTGTGTACCTGCATTAAGCCCGATATTCTGTGAGTCTCCGGAGGACAGGATGGGTGGCTTGTCGATCGGACCGGCGTCCACTAGCAGAAGGATTCTGGCCACACGGGATATTCTAGCTTGGAGGGTGTTTCGTATTCGTTGTCAATGTTCCGTCCTTTGAGGGCCACAACCTCGCAGTCTGGAAGCCATAGAATCTAGAAGTTGAGCAGTTGGCTTCCATTTCGTGCCATGAGCATGTCTCTGCAGGCAACCTATCAGGTATGATTGCATCACGGTTGCGGTTTGCCTGTCCTGCATTGCTCATGCTTCAGCTATCACAGAGTCAACTAGGACGTACCGCACGATAGGTCGGAACCCGTGTTTTTCTTTTTTT